CTTTACTACTTTATACTTTATAGACACTTTATACTACTTTATACTTGTTAGATAAACTGAATTGAATTGAATAGATACTTTATACTTTATAATACTTTATACTTTACTACTTTATACTTTATAGATACTTTTTATACTATTTTATACTTTATAGATACTTCATACTTTATAGTACTTTATACTTTATAGATACTTTATAGCTTGGCAGCTAGTATTAAATCACATCAAGCATTGCTATGAAAATGAGTAAATTTAGCTTCAACTATCAGCGGACAGTTTAAAAATGGATTTAATTTTAACTGTGTGATTCCAGCAGATGTTTTTTTTTTTTTCAGAATGAGTGGGACTCCTTCCTGAAGAGTGTGGACAAAGATCTGCTGACGACAGACGAGCAGCTGTCAGGAGGAAAGATGGCCGACAGCCTGAGCCCCGACTGTCTGTTCACTGATGCACGGAGCGAAAAGTAAGTTTCCTCTGGATGGACACTTTTCAACGGTAATTTAATTTCCTGTCTGTTCACGTCGTGGAATATTTCCAGCATCTTAAAAAGTCAGGTTTTTGATGTCCATGTGTTTTTAGGAGCGTAAGCCTGGGTCACTTCCTGGGTCAGGGTCAGAAGCTGCTGCTGGTTCTGATTAGACATTTTGGATGACTGCCGTGACGAGACCACGTGGCCGAGCTGGAGGCCAATCGGGTCAGTGTCTCTTCTGGTTGATGAGGGAACAGTTCCTGCAAACAAATCAGCTTTTGTCTTTTTTTTCTGTGTGTAAATCCAGTTGTCCCAAATGTAACTGCTCAACACTTGAAAATAAGTTATTGACAAAGTACGGGGGTTTTCTTTTTGGTCATTATCACTTTTACTACTAGGGTTTTGAAATTTACTCCACTAGTTAGATATACAGATGTGGATAAAATTAGTTCATGTGGAATGGTTTTGGATGGTTTCATTGGCTCTTTTTCTACCATCTGCATTATCTGACTGATCATCCTGGGGTCGCATTTCTTCTTGCATCCATGTCCTGGGCGGTTGGCCAAAGTCTCATGTCCCTTATACTTTTTATTTGGGGTCAGAGGAACATGATGCTGCTTGTAGATGGTCCTAAATCTTTTATCTTTAACATGAATGTTAACACAAAGATACCAAACTACCCAGTAGCTGTTTGTTCCCTTTAAATCAGCCGAATGCCTCCTGTAAATATAATTATGGTCTAAAGCTGAAACATGACTATGATGTAAAGATAATTTGTCTCTTTAACAACAAATCAGTCTGTGCTACTTTAGCGTATCTTTGTAAAATTAACAACAAATTAGGGATGTACGATATTATCAGCATGGTATCGGCCGATATTAGTGATAAAGTTAAATATCGGACATCGGCCATTCCATCAAAATAACTCGCCGATATAAAAGGCTCTTTTTCTTTAAACTGTGTGGCAGCAAGCTGCAACCCATTTTACTTTTATAAAAATTAATTAGTGAGTATGGGACAAATAATGTTTGAAAAGAAGCACAAGAGAAATGTTTGTAACTGGAGTTTAACTGTTATTTTACTTTTCGGCTGCGTTGTTCTGCAGGACCTCCTGGAGGCTCGGTCAGTGCAGGTCGTGGTGGTTTCCTTCGGCTGTGTGGAAGGAGCTCAGCTGTGGCTGCGGCAGACCAGATGTTCCTTTGAAACGCTGCTCGACCCTCAGAGAACGGTCCGTTTGTGTGTCTTCACCCTCGCTGTCTCATTTTAAAACAGTTTTTAAGATACCGTGCTGTCCAACCTTCACATTAGAATAGCTCCTGGCTTATTTTATGAAAACGAACAAGGAATAAAAGAACGTTAATGTTCATGGAAACTAGAAGTGTCTGTGGCTCAACGTGAACAAAACGGGGGACTCGGGTGTTTTACCAGCTGTTTGATGATGTGTCATAAAAGCTGAAAGTCTCCAAACTCCACTCCGAAAAGTCCAGATGCTGACCTCTGCGAGGTGGAAGCAACCAAACAGAAAGAAGGAACGTTTTCCAGCTGCCACAGAATCGGTCACGCTGGAAATATAAACCTAAAGAAACGACTTCCTGCTGCTTCCTGTCTCGTACAGATCTACAGGAGTTTCGGCCTCGGCTCGTCTTACGCCAAAGTGATGAATTTCGGCTGCCTGCTGCGCTACTCAGAGTACAGAGCTGCAAATATAGACTTCCCCGACGTCCCGCCTCGTCTGCTGGAAGACCTCTTCCAGGTACGCATGGCAACATAATCAACACAAGACAACGTGCCTTTAAAATAAAAGTGAAAAGCTCGAGTTGATCTGCAAAACATTTATTGTGTGAAAGTTTATGAAGCAACTGTTGCGATCTATTGTTCTTCCGTACGTGTTTCAGCATGAGTCTCGTCCCGCAGTTTTCAAGCTCATCATAAATCAAAACATTCAGCTCTTTCAGGACAATCCTGCTATGACTTTTAGTATTGGTGCAACTTTAGCTTTTTTGAAATATTTAGCCTTTTCTGCCATTTTTTTTTCCTCATAGAAAATGAATTGAGCTCATCCTTCAAATCTTTAGATCTGTTTACAGATGACTGCTCCTTTCACGTTTTGTTCTGCTTCAGCTTCTTTCGGCATCCTTATGTCCTTTTTTCAGCTACTTTCAGCTGATCGCAGCTGTTTTTCACCTGATTAGTGCTCCTTTCAGATTATTTCTGCTAAAATATTTTTGTGCTTCTTCTAATATCTTTCTGCTAATTTCATTTTATTATGATCCTTTCATCTTATTTCTGCAAGATTCAGCTTTGTCTACTATTTCAGCTACTATTTAGCCATTTTTATGCAAATTTTAGCATTCTCAGCTAATTCCACTTTTTTGCATTCATTTAAACTTTTTTCAGCCTAATTCAGTAAAAATGTGCTGTCTCTACTTCCTTCTTGTAATTTCAGCTTCTTTCTGCTTTTTTAGCTACTTTTCAGCTGTTTTGGCAAATTTCTGCTTTTTTAGATAATTCCCAGTCTTTGTGCTCATTTCTGCTTCTTTCAGCCTAATTAACTTATTGTTTGCAAATCTCAGCTTGTTATGCTCTATTCAGCTTTTTTTCCTGCTAGTTTCAGCTTTTCCTGCTATTTCAGCTACTTTTTAGCAGTTTTTTGTGCTAATTTTAGCTTTTTCAGCTAATTCCACTTTTTGGTGCTTATTTCTGCTTCTTTCAGCCTAATTAACTTCTTTCTGCTAATTAAAAAACAAGCAGCTTTTTTCTGCTAGTTTCAGCTTTTTCTGCTATTTCAGCTACTTTTGAGCAGTTTTTTGTGTGTGCTAAATTTAGCTTTTTCAGGTAATTCCACTTTTTTTTATAGCTCATTTCAGCTCCTTCCACTTCCTTCTGATAGTTTAAGTGTCTTTCTGCCTTTTCAGCTACTTTTCAGCAATCTTTTTTTGATTTCAGCTTTTTTTTAGCTAATTTCCCAATTTTAGTTCTTATTTCTGTTTATTTAAACCTAATTCAACAAATATGTGTTCTTTCTGTTAGAAAGTTAGACTTGTTTTTTAATTTCAGCTACATTTCAGCATGTTTTAGCTAATTTCAGCTGTTTTTCAGCAAGTTCTTCAGCAATAGTTATTCACACTGCAGTTTTGCAGGAAATGCAACGTCTCTAGTTACAAGTTCAGTTAGTCAATGCAGAGAATTGTATATATATATACATACACATATATATATATATATATATGTATGTATATATATAGTTTAAAGCCTGTTTTGGCTCAGTTGATGGCAGCAGGAACAAGTTCTGAACAAATCATTTCGCCTTCATGTGATCAGCAGTAGGTTCATTTTCTTTAATTAAAGAAATCAAACCGATTAACGGTTAGTTAGTCGTTGGGCATCTAAATGATCATAATTACAAATCATCATAATAATAATAATTTATTCAATTTGTACTGCACTTTACATTTTACAATCTCAAAGTGCTACAATATAAAATATCTAAAGAGAATAAAATATGGATTAAAAAAGGACTAAAAAAATAAAAAGGTCTTCAGTTCTTTCTTAAAACCTTCTGCAGTGTGGGGCATCCTCAGATGGTCAGGGAGGTGGTTCCACAGACGAGGAGCAGCAGAGCAAAAGGCCCTGTCACCCATTATTTTATAGTTTAACTGTCACTAGAGGAGGTTTTGTGCTTCCTGATTAACTATGTTTCTGTTTTTCCTCTTGTTGTAAGTTTTGTAGTTGGATAATAAAATTAAATGGAACAAAGGAGGGGGGAAATCTGTACAGGCACAGGTAAAATGTGCAGTTAAAGTTTCACGTTAGTAAATTTTCCAGCTTTTAAAATGAAATAAAGGGGAAGCTCATAATTAACAAAGTGGCCAGATAATATATTCCTATTTGACATGTGCACGGTTGAATCAGTCATATGAATCTGGTTTATTGTGTGAAAACCGATTCAGCGTTCACATTATTATTATTTGTTTCAGGATTTAAAACATTTAGATTATTTATGACTTTTGATTTCTGTAAGTAGAAAAATTAAACTTGGTTTTACAATTATTCTCGTTAGAATGCACCGAGATCTTTTCAAATCCTTAAAAAAAACTTCGCTCTTTGAAATCTGCATTTCCATACTCGCTTCATTAGTCTCCGTTTTCTTACTTTTTATGCTTTTTGTGTCTTTTTGTCTCCTTGTGTTCTGTCTTGTGTTTCATTTTTTGTCTTTTTCTACGTTCTAGTTGTCTCGTTATCTTGTTCTGTCTGCTGTTTCTGTCCATCCTTCTGTTTTATATATATATATAAATTTAATATAACAAAAATTCAACTGATTTTCAACTCACTTTAAACTTTAAATCATTCAGCGCTCAGAATTCATTCTGCATATTGTTTGTGTAAAATGCACATTTTAGAAGTTCATAAATATATTTCATCTTTCTGTATTTTTCAGCTTGGTGGTGACTTTCTACTGGACAACACGGGGAAGGTTCTCCTGTCTCACCCATCTAAAAGCCCTTTGGACAGGCTGAGTTTGACCCACGTGCTGCAGGCCGCCGCAGCCGAGAGTCGACACGCGGACCGAACAAACGCGCTGGTACAACGCCGCTGACGCCACAGAGGAAGAGCAGCTCTTTGACGCACGTTGATGATGTCACGCCTCGCAGTCACCACATGAAGAGGAGCGACTGATGCTGAAGTGTGGAGAAGAGACGACCGATCGTTTTGTCAAGTCAGTGTCGTAGTTCGAGCAGCGGCATATACATTTTAATCAACCAATAAAAAAACAAAATGCGTTCACGTGCCAGTTTGAGATATTTTCAAACTTTTAACGACAACTATATTATTTAGAAATCAAGCAGCAAAAAGCTACAGCTAACTACTGAAATAGTCTTTAACTGAAGTCAAGATTATAAAATAATAATAAACGTAGAAACAGTTGTCGATAATCAGCTATGATAGTATAAAAATCCCAGAAATTGTCTTATTTTTTAAAAGAAAGTATGTAGATTATATGTAAAGAAATTACAATTATCTTAAGTTGAAACGAGTCTGTATTCAAACTCAGGATTTCTGATAAAGTTGAACTCATTATGCTTGAAATGTGTAAAAATATAGCAAAACAGGAGTATCTTATTCTCTGAAACACAAACAAATAATAGGATTGTGTATTGCAAGATAGATTTATGAGGTTTTTTTTTTGTAACCAGACATTTAATATAACAATTAGGATTAAAAAATAGACTTGACCCACTGTTTTACTGTTTTTTACTGTTATACAAATAAAAAGTGTCAGCTTTATTTGTTGTTTTAACACTGTCTTGTTTCTTAAATGTCATTTAAAAACAAACTTCAATACACAAAATATTTTTTAAACCTGTTTTTACATATTTACATTGATCGGAAAAGGTTCTGAAAACCACGTCAGCATTTGGTTTTTGATTCATTTAGGGTTTAGGGTTAGGTTTTTGTTCAGAACTTTATTGTCTACTAGGCCTGTCGCGATAACAAATTTTGCTGGGCGATTAATTGTCTCAGAAATTATTGCGATAAACGATAATATTGTTTGAAATTTGACAATAATTACCGGTAGTAATTATTGTCAAATTTAAGAAGAAATGTTTTTTTTATTTTTGTGTGTAGTACCATTTTTGACCACTGTATGGCAGTATAAGACGGTTTTAACCGACGGATGGATAGTGAGGGAGCGAGCAGCGTGTCTCTTTAAGAAAAATGGGAGGGACCCGGGCTGTCTCTCCTTTTTTCGGTTCTCAAAATGGTAGACGCTCGGTGTGGTTGGAGCTCTTTAGCATAACGTGTCACGCAAAGCTTTTAATAAATAAAAAAAATCAGTAAACAAGTTCTCAGCTTCTTTTTTCAGAGAAAAATAAGTTTTTACACGAAGGCACCGGTTTCAACCATGAATTTTAGAGCTTCGACAAGACGGAGATTTTTTTTCCCGAGGTCAGCCTGTTAGCTTAGCTCGTAGCTTAGCTTCTCAGCTTAGCTGCTTTTTATGACCCAAAAAAGTGATTTTGAAGTTAAATGTATTTTAAATCGACAAAAGAGAAAGGGAGGGGTCAGTGAAGAGCACCGGAGTTGAGCCTTTTGTCATCCAGTGTCTTCAGTAGAAAGAGAGAGACACGAAGAAACGATAAAGCCGATAAATGAAAATGAGGTCGGTAATTTTCATTTATCATGCGATTAATTGATTTATTGTGTATCGCGACAGCCCTATTGTCCACGTAACTCATATTTTACGGATTATTTGCACCATGTTATTAGTCATTTTTAAAAACTTTAGCCAAGTTTCAGATGGGGTTCTGAAGGGCTCGATAAGCAGGAATCTTGCTCAGCAGATTTCATTAAAACATGTTTTAATCCTGTAACGCTCCAATAGACACTGACGGACGTCTCAAAGGAGTTTGGCATGTCCTGATTCTGAAGAAAGGACCTCCATCTTTAAACTTCCTCCTTTTTTGGAAGCTTTGATCAAAAGTTTTGAATTCCATGAATGAACTCAGGGCAGAGTTTGACTGAACCAGTGTCATATTATCATATTAATGCAGCTATCTGAACAAAAAGAAGCATTCAGGGCACGCCGTATGCTTAAAATACCATCCAATATCAATAAAGTTAGATTTACATTGCACCCTTCATGCTAACTTGATTGCACTGTATAAGTATTGACATCAAGGCTTTGGGAAGTAGGGGTACAGATGGTGCTGCAGCCCCTCTGATGTATGCAGGATATGCACATCCAAAACACATAAATAAGGAATTTACGATAAAAATCAATAGAAACCATTTCACTAGTGCTGCATATGTTTAACTTCTAATATTTTGATGGTAAGTTGCGTTGTTATGGTATTTATGTATGCAAAACTATTATAACGGCTTCAAACCCACACCCATATATAGAACAGCTTTAATGTCCACAATGAGATACTGCCAGTGTGCATTTCAGTGCATACATTTAGTATTATATTTTTCATTTGGGAGTTTAAGGCTTTAAAATTCAATAATCTCACGTCAACCTCCACCTGACCGACGTTCCCATAGACCCCAGCTTGTTATTGTAATGTAGAGGGTCTTTTACTTTAAAATAAATAATTTGATTATTAAATAAAGTGAGTTTTATTTCCATATATCAACAGGTTTGTAGTAACATGGCGACAGATAATAAAGAGTTCATTTCAAAGAGCCACCCTGTCATCAAACTCGCAGACATAGTTCATGGTCCGATCGCAGTAGTGGTCCCACCAGTCTCCGTCGTCTGACGACATGGCCACGCAGTTCTCCCGCCTCCCTCCGTCTGGCTGACTGGACAAGAAGTGTCTGCGCCACTGGAAGTACGAGACCCGAGTGCCGTCGTCGAAGAGGTACAGGCCCTCAGAGCGCAGGTCGTTGATGCCCAGCCAGACGGGCCAGTTCCCCGGGTGGAAGAAGCCCTTCACGTAGTCGGCCAAGGCCTCCTGCTCCTTGCGGTCGCGGGGCATCGCCATGCGGCCTCCACGTTCCATGCACTTCCTGGACGCTCCAGCATAGTCTTCTATACTGTTGTACACCAGGTAACATTTGTAGCCCATCCTGCGTCCTTTCTGACAGCCTTACAGAGCAGAAAAAGAAAAACGGAAGTGGCTTGAGACACGGCCTTTTCTGCATTCATTCTGCACTCAAAGTATTTAATTACATTTAAAACTACGGTACAGCTCATTGACAGTTTTATTGCTCATGGCCAGGGAAAGCACTTGTGCTCATGTGTCAGTCTTTCAAGTTCTAATGGAACTTACAGAAATTAATCATTAGATATACGGTACATCTGCGATTTTTGGAGTCAGCCTGATTCAAGATGGCTGCCACAACTAAGGGACCTTAGCAAAAACAAAAATAGCTACAAGTTAGTCAATTCTTTTATTTCTCTCGACGAAGACGGACACTCTTTCCCTCTCCTGCCTCCCCTCCTGCTTTTGCTCTCGTCCTGTGAATCTCGGAGCCGCTCTTTACACAGCTTCTGAATTGTAAATTATAAATCTGGTCTGCTGGTCTCTCAACGCAGTTGATGAAATTTTCTCAAATAGAAGACGGGGTGGTGGAGAGCCCTCATGCCCTGAAGGGACACGCGCAGCTGGATGTGTCATGGATTCCTGGGGTGTCTGGAAGATGATGTGCCTGTCTGTGTGGTCTGTTGAAGACGCGTACATAATTGGATTTATGATAACAGAGTTTCTGCTTTTTGGAATTGGCGGATACCTGGGATATCGGCTTATTAGGAAGACATCGGCAGCCGTTTTGGCAATAGTAAAGCTGCCAGCCTTATACGAAGGACTATTCCGTGCTTCGAGCACTCAGACTAATATGCTTTGTGAGCTGAACCTTGTAAGTTGGACATGATTTCCGAGAATCGTGGGCCACTTGCAGCTCCTAGGGCTCGCCGGCATGAAGGAGTCCACCTTGGAGAAGGCTAACAAGCACAGACTGGCAGAATGTCCTCAAATCTGGCTGTTTGGCTTTGCCGTTGAGTGTACCAGCAGAACTGAAGGCAGACATGAAATCAGTGGAGTCGGCCTGCCCAAAACAATGGTTTTGAATTTGTCCTCCTTGCTGGTTTTGGATAGGCCAGCTTATCTCAAATTGCTCCTGGTGGATATGTAAATTAAGAAGCTCTGTGCCGCTGGCCTGCAGATGAGTGTAGACCACAGAGTCCTGGCCTGATGATGTTGCTCTTCTGTGCTGGGCCATCTTTGTGAAGAGAACCCGTGTATCATTAAACAGTCGGAGGCCTCCGTCTCCAACTGTCCCCCTCTTACAATGTTGTTATTGCATCACTCAGCCCTCTGTGAGTAAGAGGTCATCAGGGTACTAATGATTCATCACTCTTTTACTAAAAACTAACCATGATCCTGCTGCAGAATGTAAAAAATAATTGAATAAATAAAATCAAAATCCACCCGTAGCAGCCTGGCGCTGCTGCAGTTCAGGAACTGGTCTTTAGCAGCCGTCGGCGTCTCAGGAAAAGAAAAGTTTAATTCAGGTGTGTCTAAAAAAAGTTAAATCTGGTCCTCTGGACATTCAGAAAAGCATTCAAATTCAAATGAGCATGCATCAGGACATTCAGGTGTGTATTAACAAAAGACCAGTCAGAAGAACACCAGCAGCGCGAGTTGTGTGGCTTTACGTCCTTTGCTTGTATTTTTAGATGCAGATGAGGCTGTGCAAAATTCTTTTTATCGTTTTTCCACTAAGTCGCCACGATGTTTTGAAGAATCAACCAATGAATTTGCATTTTGGGGGAATTCAGCTGTTTTTGGTTCTCACCAGCCCATCTTGGTGTTCCTCTGTATCCTGCAGGAGAATACTTGAGAAGTTTGTCGTTTGTTTATCAGATTCAGACGTAGGAAGCTGAAAGACTGATTCGTGATAGTTGTGGCTTTTAACCCCCCCCTGAGCAGAAACGTGCTGGAACATGCCACAAGGCTGAGTTGTGTTCAATTGATTTTATTTTGGCAGTCTTCCATCCAGAGCTGTTTCTGTTTTCATACCTTAGCAGCCTCTGTTGTTTGCATAGTAACCAACAACACTGCAACGCTATAATTTTCCTAAAGTATGACAAAACCGCGGGTCCCCTTCGATGGTTTTTCCTTCATGCAATATCTCATTTGTAACGTTTTTGAAGACAGCAGAGGCGTGTCACTCTGTGAAATTTAAAAACGCCTCTTGGATGCAGTTATTTGCATGATACGGAGCAGACGCGTGAGCTAGTGCATGTCGTCTCATGTGCGCCGTTTCCCATTAATCTCGTCTCTCAACAGAGGTGCAGCGATCCCCTTCAGATGTTTTGAATCAAACAGCATCTCCTCCAGCACCTCGTCTCTTTTTATAGTAGATGAGTTTTGACAAGATCTAGAAATATAATGAAAATATTACGCAAGTGTTTGCTTCTTAGATCTTTATTCAAGTTGTCAAATATGGATAGTTTATTTTGCAGAATCCAAGATTTTGCAGTTATTTTCCTGATGCAACCTGGGATTGACGTCCAGATTACATACACATGTGCAGTTAGAGAGGACATGGAGGTAGATGGAGTGAGGACAGAGTAAGATGGAGGAGGATGACTCGCTGCGGCGACACCCGAAGAGGGAACAGCCGAAAGAAAACAAAAAGAAATAATTGTGGAAAAAATAATCTCATACCTTCCAGTCGTCCGATCTCCTTGCGGTTGTCCCTGCTGTGCTGGTAGACCTCTTGGATGCTGTCCTCCAGATCCCCGACTTTAGCTGTGGAGTTAGCAACGAGTAACAGCAGAGAAAAGACACATATGCACTTCTACGATACCTGATTGTTTTTATTTGTGATTTACAAGTTGATGCTTTGAGAATATGAATGGTTGTTTGTCTCTATGTGTCCCTGTGATGGACTGGAGACCTGTCCAGGGTGTCCCCCGCCTCTTGCACAGTTATAACTGAGCATGGGTACCAGTGAGCCCCGCGACCCGATAAGGAAGAAACGGGTAAAGATGGATGGATGGATGGATGGATGGATGGATGGATGGATGGATGGATGGATGGATGGATGGATGGATGGATGGATGGATGGATGGATGGATGGATGGATGGATGGATGGATT